TTCCTTCCTCTTCCTTTGGTACCGTCTCTATGGCTTGAATTGACAGGAGGTGAGCTATGGCCGAAGTTATCAGCCTTTTCTTGTGTACTCTTCTGGAGATGGGACATCTGATGAACCGGTTTGGAGGGGGAGAACAGAAGTCTAAGGTCAGGCCATGCCTGATCGTTTCCAGGACCCAGGCGTCGGGAGTGGTCTGTTCCCAGACCTCGGTGAAATTTCCTAACCGACCCCCGATGGGTGTATCCTGTTTGGCGTCACTTGGTACGCTTAAAGGATCTGCCTCCCGCTCCTCTATATGGGCGTCTGGACTGGAACTGGCCCCTGGCTCCCGGTCTTTGGCGATCCTGGGTTCGATCCTGTCTCGGGTAGAAGGATCGTGAGCCTCTGGGCCAGTCCCAGGATTGCCCTGATCGAAAGGGCTGCCTCCATTCCCAGGGTCTTCCTGGGCGGGAGCCCTGCCTCCGGAAGTCCTGACTGCCTCTCCTGTCTAACTTCTTTGATGGATGTACTAGGATTTTTTTCTTGTCTCTGCCTTCGCTGACATGTGGATCCAGAATGGAACCAAATAGGGCCTCTCCACTGTATTTGGACGTCGAGAGACGCCAGTTGGACCTCAGGTCTGTCTTCCAGTTTTTGAGCCACAGTAGCCTACGCGAGGCCACTGTGGCCGCAATGGATCTTGCCGCATACTTAGTTGCGTACAGTGAAGCGTCAGACATGAACTGAGAGGCCGCGAGGAGTTTGGCCAATGTCTGGTGTACTCTGACCTGGTCTGGAGGCACCGTGCCCTGCAGTTCCCTCAGCCACATGATGCAGGCCCTCGCGAAGAATGATGATGAGGTGGCTGCTCTGGCCGCCCAGGCTGCAGCCATATGGGAACGCCGGAAGGAGTGTTCAAATTTCTTCTCCTCAGGTTTCAAGACCTCCGCCATGTCTCCTGGAATCGCGGAGGTAGAGAATAATGAGATCAAGGGGTTATCTACAGTGGGAACCTCTAACATGTTAGAGAAGGAGGGAGATAGGTTGAAAAGCTTCCTCTCCGCGCTGTTAGGTGCCGGTGGGCTTGCAAGTGAGGACCATTGTTCCTCCAGCGTGGTCATGAAGACCTCCGCACATGGAATGTACTTGTCCTGTGGGACCTTTTTGGCAAATAGAGGGTTGGCCTCCTTGCTTGTCGATGGCCTCTCATCCTGTACTGATGTTAGGCTGACTGTGGAAACTGCCTTTATCAGGAGTGATTTTAGGAGCGCTGGGTTAAAGAGGCCAGAGCTCGTCTCCTGCTCAGGTGCGGTTTCCTCGTCCTCCGATAGGGGCATGTCTGACATGTCAAGATCTACTGAGTCACCCTCTCCTAGTTGAGAGGAAGATTCAGAGATGTTGGTAGGGGGTGGCCTAGCTCGTCCCTTACGGGGTGTGTGAAAGGCCACTTGCCCTTTGGAAGCCATGAATTGGGAGAATGCATCCTGCATGAATGCCTGAAATTGTGCCGACCATATGTTCTCCTGCGCTTTGTCGCTGGGGTGAGGCGCTGGAGTGTGGTCGGGTGAGGGAGAAGAAGCTGGTGAGGAGGGATTGGAGGATCTAACTGTTCAGTTTCCCCAGGAGGAGACCAAGTCTTGAGCACTTCCTCGGCAGTAGGTTCTGTGCTGGGTGCCGCCACTGGGACAGGGGAAACCAAATTTGTCCCATTGGCATTGGTTCTCTGTGCCCTGCTAATTTGTCTTTCTAAAGCCAAATGTCTCCTCAAAGCCTCTCGCTCAGCCGTTTTAGACTGTCCCTTCTGAGTAAGGTGCTTTGTTTTAGCTTTCTTCTTCCCCCCCACCTCTGATTCAGAGGATCTGCGTTTTCGCTGCTGCTGTGGGGGGGACAATTGAGGGACCTGTGTGACTGAATACGAGACATTGTCTGCCATTGTGCCAGACACCCCGAGTAGGAAATGCCTGGGATGGGGGAATGAGGTACGCAGATCAGAGGCAGATGCTTGGGACTGTGCCCTCCTCTGCCTATACAAACAATGGCCGGACAGACAGGATTCTTTGGACAGAAGATCCTGCCAGGCAGTGACTAAAGGCCACTATAGGAACAGTTAGGGAAGAATATTCCTCCTCACCTCCTCACCTAGTCCAGACAAGGTGCAGTTTATATCTCTCTCTCTCTCCCCCCAGTCTGTGGCTGTGGCAACAGACCACGATAGGAAACGGTTCTTTTTGCTTTCCCTCTTCCTTCCTCTGTCTCAATTTCCTTGGGTAACCTCAGATCCTTGCAAGGGAAAAAACCCTTTGTTTGCCGGAAAATGGAGTCCGGGTGATGGCCCCGCCCCCAAGGGGAAACGGCGGGAAGATCAATTTCCAAAATGGCGAATGGGGAAGAAGCCACGCCTCCCAATGGAAGCCCGGGAATCCACGAGGTTCAAAAACAATGGCGGATCCTGATTTTTGCAATCAGGAAGACTCCTCTAGTCATGAGGGGGCTGCGCCTTTCCTCTGGATAGAAGGAAATTCAGCGCCGGCTTTGCTCTTGCCGCGTTGTCTATCGCGCCGCTCAGCTGATCGCAGCCGAGCGGCGACCTGGTTTGCCGCTTCCCGCGCGGCTCAGCTGTTTCGCGCCGAGCGGCGCTCAGCTCCCTCGGCCAGGCTGCTCAGCTGTTGGGAGGGCCCGGGGGGCTACGCGCAACCCGGTGAGATCCCCCGCGCCAAACAGCTGCTCGGCGGGCCGGAAGAAAGGGCGAGCGATCCGGCCCGTTCTGAGCCTCCCCAGCTAGCCCCACTCACGAGTCCGCCGATCCTGGCTGCCTCTCTCAGTTCTAATTGTTGCCGGGAAGTTTCTCTTGCAAAGGGAAGGAGAGGGGATTCCTTTTTTCTGTTTTCTTTGAGTTTAAATTCGTTTGGTTCTGAGAGCTGCCTCTCGCACTTGTACCAGGCTTCGAGACTGAGTCAAAACTGGGGTCACGCCCAAAGGAAGGGGTGTGGCCGAAGTTTTTACCCAGTCTGCCAGGCAGGAAGGCCGTCATAGAACCCATCCATTTGGACTCTACAGTCATCCTGCTGGAGAATGCGGGTTTCTTCCCGATTTCTCGCAGGGATTTCTCTGCATCGTAAAGAATGAAGCTATAAATACTTTGTGGAGTCGTCTGAACATGCAGCGGCCCACGGCAGGAAAAGAAGTAAAATTGGGGTGCAGTCCTTTGTTTGCCCAGGGGGAGACTGAGGGGGGTGTCAAAGAAGAAATCAAACAATTTGAGAATGGGGCGAACGTTAACTCTGCTTTTGTGGACAGCAGCAGCAAATTCACAGGGCTGATATTCAAAAGAGATTCTTGTGGTTATTTGGAGTTATTTCCTTTTGAACTTTGCGTGCCACTCGTAAGCAGAGCAAATAAATAAATATATCGCCAACGCATACAAATAGAACGAGGGCTTTTGATCCCACCGCTATTATTTTTACAGGTAAGTCGAGGCGGGGAATACAACCAAAACACCTTCCTCTTCCTCCTCCTATTTCCCCCAAAACCGTGAGGTGAGTTGGGCTGACAGAGAGGAAGTGGCTGAAAGTCACCCGGCTGGCTTTCCTGCCTAAGGTGGGACTAGAACTTACCCTCTCCTGGTGATTGGACTCAAATCACCCAGCCAGCTTTCATTCATCCTTAAGGCTGGACTAGAACTCATCATCCCCTGGTGATTGGTCCAAAATCACCTAGCTGGCTTTCTTACCTAAGATGGGACTAGAACTCACCATCTCCTGGTGATTGGCCCAAAATCACCCAGCCGGCTTTCATTCATCCTTAAGACTGGACTAGAACTCACCGTCTCCTGGTGATTGGCCCAAAATCACCAGCCGGCTTTCATTCATCCTTAAGACTGGACTAGAACTCACCCTCTCCTGGTGATTGGTCCAAAATCACCCAGCCGGCTTTCATTCATCCTTAAGACTGGACTAGAACTCACCATCTCCTGGTGACTGGCCCAAAATCACCCAGCCGGCTTTCATTCATCCTTAAGGCTGGACTAGAACTCACCATCCCCTGGTGATTGGTCCAAAATCACCTAGCCGGCTTTCCTGCCTAAGGTGAGTCTAGAATTCACCATCTCCTGGTGATTGGTCCAAAATCACCTAGCCGGCTTTCCTGCCTAAGGTGGGACTAGAACTCACCGTCTCTGGTGATTGGACTAAAAATCACCCAGCTGGCTTTCATACTTAAGGTGAGTCTAGAATTCACCGTCTCCTGGTGATTGGACCAAAATCACCCAACCGGCTTTCATAGCTAAGGTGGGACTAGAACGCACCTAGTTTCTAGGCCAGCATTTAAACCACGTGAGGTTAATTGAAGGGAGAAAAGAAAAGAGCTTTAATCTAAAACATAGAAACATAGAAAAGGATGACAGAAAATGACCTTTGAGGGTTTTATTATTGTTTATTTTGCTAAATTTTTGTCGGATGATAGAACACGGTAAGCTCAGTTACTGCAGACTGATCCGCTCCGCTGGTGTAGCTTCCACTATTTTTCCCGTCAAGTCGTCCTTTCTAACGTGACTGTTCAACTTCCCTCCTGTCAGTCAGGGGTGATGCCCCCATTTTGTTCTAGTCAGGTACATCTTGTGACCCTGTGCAGAGTACACACACAGACACACACAGAGTCACACACCAAAACCTGTATCTTACAATGCCATTGCGGTCTGGCGGAAGATGGCAACAGAGCAAGACCACATGCCTGCACAGAGACACACAGACACAGACACACAGAGACACACACACACTCGGCAGGCCCTTCCCATCTCTATTACAGCCATGGACAAAAGGCTATTTCAGAGGAAGATATAAATTGGCAGTCCTTCTGGAAAGGTAGCCCAAGCTTTGTGGAAAACACAACAGGAGACAAATATTCCAGCAGGAGGAGGAGACACCCCCCCCCTCCACGACGTCACGCCGGCTTCCTTTGGAATCACTGCAACTGCAAGGATGGTCCACGAAAAGCACAGGGGGCAAAAGCACAGGTATACCTACCTGGCCACGTGTGAAAAAGCATCCACGAGCACCGATTCGAATTCCTTCGTAAACTCGGGTCCCTTCTTTTTACTGTTCTGGATGACATCGTTCGCCAAGTATAAGAAAGTCAGCTTCCTACTCGATTTGGCTGGGAAAGGAAAGGAACATATATTCGGAACGCATCTCAAGATTTTCATATTCACACGTGTTCGGAAGCTAGGATCCTTTTTTTTTTTAAACCACGGTTTACCAAATTTATCCACTGCCTATTTATCCTGTTGATAAAGGAGACAGCCTAGGAATCCATCCACAGAAAAATCTCTCGGGCCAAGCAACTGCATTGCTGTTTTGATTGAAACGAGCCCTCGGAGGGAAAGGGCAAATTGGTACTTCAGTGCCATCTGCGGTTTCAGTGTCATCAGAGAGAGTCAAAGCACTTTCCTAGGACAGTGTTTCTCAACCTTGACTATTTTAAGGCATGTGGACTTCAACTCCCAGAATTCCACAGCCAGCAATGCTGGCTGTGGAATTCTGGGAGTTGAAGTCCACATGCCTTAAAATTGTCAAGGTTGAGAAACATTGTCCTAGGACCTTCTTTAAAAATAGCAAAGTTTGAAGGCTGAGGAAAATGGGGGAAAAAAACCCCAATCCTGATACCATACTAAGAGGATTTATTTATTTACAGCATTTATACCTTGCCCAAATCTGCAAACGTTTGGGGGGGGGGCGCTAAGGATTTGAACCCTAACACTAGGAAGGCCAAGCTGTCCTCAATTTGCAATCGTTCATTTACTGATCTTTCCAAATCAGAACAGCGATAAAAAAGGGGGGGATTTGCAACCACCAGTGCTCACACTTACAACCACTGTGGCATCCCTAGGGTCACAGAATCAAACTTCAGCAGATTCCGACAAACAAAGTCAATGGGGTAAGCCTAACGACCACCTGATTCACTTAACAACTGTGGCACACACACACATACACACCATAATACCTCTGATGATGACCATTTGTGATGAACCAAGGGAATACGACTGATTTGGTTTGTTTCTGAGGAGAGGAACCATGCTGGCCTGGGGAGAGGGTATTTTAAGGGGGGGGAGCTGCCACAAAGAAGGCCTGTCATCCAGTCTGTGCCCATCAATTTTGGGGGGGGGGCAGAAATGACTGTTAACTGACCTTGTCTCGATATACTTAATTCCGTTGGTACACAATGACAATAAAGGTATTCCATATTCCACTCTATTCCTATTTCTATTCCATTCCATATTCTATTCTATTCTATTCTATTCTATTCTATTCTATTCTATTCTATTCCTTATTCTATTCTATTCTATTCTATTCCATATTCTATTCTATTAATTCCATTCTACTTTTCTCTACTCTACTCTAATCCATATTCTATTCTATTCTATTCTATTCTATTCTATTCTATTCTATTCTATTCTATTCTATTCTATTCTATTCTACTCTCTACTCTACTAACCCAGTGTTTGTCAACCTTGGCAACGCTGGCTGAGGAATTCTGGGAGTTGAAGTCCAAACCGCTTAACATTGCCATGGTTGAGAAACACCGTGCTAACCTAAAGATGTTCGGTTGTGGCACCAACACAGCTTTCCAGAAAAAAACAGAAGCCAGGCAACTCGACTTACCAGCACAACTGAGGGCCATTTTTCTTAAAGTAAGGAGACATGTCCTGATAATGGGGAGCAATTAATCAGTGGGATGGCTTGCCTCCAGAAGTTGTGGATTGCTCCATCCCTAGAGGTCTTCAAGAAAAGACATTTGTCTGGAAGGACACGGGGCCTCCTGCTCAAGCAGGGGGTTGGACTAGAAGACCTCCAAGGGCCCTTTCCAGCTCTGTTATTCTAAAACTGAGGGGTCCTCACCCAAGAAACGCCAGGGAGTTTCTAGAAGCCCTCTGACAGATCGGCCATCCCTAGACGCACAGATGTTAACAACATCTACAGCAGTGGTTCTCAACCTTTCTAATGCCGCGACCCCATAATACAGTTCCCCATGTTGTGGTGACCCCCAACCACTTATACATCACCGGGTGCCAGGGGCGTGGCCAAAGAAAAGGGGGAAAAAATGGCGGACAGCCTTGTTTGGCGACCCCCGTGAAATGGTCGTTCGACCCAAATGGGGTCCCGACCCACAGGTTGAGAACCACTGATCTACAGACTATGCAAAAGAGACAATGGCCTCTCCACCAGCGATCAGCATCCAGGTCAGCAGAGATGAACTCCAAGATTAACATCAGGCCATCGATCAAGTAAGCAAGGCCCCAATGGAGAAGCTGCCAAAGAAGCCAACAGCCCAATCAAAGAATCTCTAAGACCAGCGACACTGACAGGGCAAAAGGGCAGGATATAAACTGGCAGCAAACCGCACTCCTTACGTGCACTGATGATGTTCCCTAGTTGGGTCATGAAACGTCTGTAAGGAAACAAGCAAGCTCAGAGAGCACCCAGGATCCCCCAGTCCTCTTCTTCCTCCTTCTCCTCCTCTGCCCTCTCCTCCTCCTGTCCACAAACCACCAAGCTCAGAGAGCACCAAGGACTCCACAGTCCTCCTCCTCCTGCTGCTCCTCTCCTTTCTTCTCCTCCTCCTCCTCCCCACAAATCCCACTCCCTTCTAGCACTGATGATGTTCCCCAGTTGGGCCATGAAACGTCTGCAAGAAAACAGCCAAGCTCAGAGAGGACCAAGGACCCCACAGCCCTCCTTCTCGCTCTTCCCCCCCCCTCCTCCTCTCCACAAACTGTCAAGCTCAGAGAGCACCAGAGACCCCAAAGTCCTCCTCCTCCTCCCCTGCGCAAGAAAACAACTAAGCTCAGAGAGGACCAAGGACTCTACAATCCTCCTCCTCCTCCCCCCTCCTCCTTTCTAAAGCATCAAGGACTCCATAGTTCTCCTCCTCCTTCTCCCCCCCTCCTTTCTAGCACTATTGATGTTCCCTAGTTGGGTGATGAAATGTGTGCAAAAAAACCACCAAGCCCAGAGAGCATCAAGAACTCCATAGTTCTCCTCCTCCTCCCTTCTAACACTGATGATGTTCCCCAGTTGGGCCATGAAACATCTGCAAGAAAAATCACCAAGCTCAGAGAGCACCAGGGACCCCACGATCCTCCTCCTCCTCCTAACACTGATGATGTTCCCTAGTTGGGTCATGAAACGTCTACAAGAAAAACCACCAAGCTCAGAGAGCACCAGGGACCCCATGGTCCTCCTCCTCCTCCTAACACTGATGATGTTCCCTAGTTGGGTCATGAAACGTCTACACGAAAAACCACCAAGCTCAGAGAGCACCAGGGACCCCACGGTCCTCCTCCTCCTCCTAACACTGATGATGTTCCCTAGTTGGGTCATGAAACGTCTACAAGAAAAACCACCAAGCTCAGAGAGCACCAGGGACCCCACGGTCCTCCTCCTCCTCCTAACACTGATGATGTTCCCTAGTTGGGTCATGAAACGTCTACAAGAAAAACCACCAAGCTCAGAGAGCACCAGGGACCCCACGGTCCTCCTCCTCCTCCTAACACTGATGATGTTCCCTAGTTGGGTCATGAAACGTCTACAAGAAAAACCACCAAGCTCAGAGAGCACCAGGGACCCCACGGTCCTCCTCCTCCTAACACTGATGATGTTCCCCAGTTGGGCCATGAAACATCTGCAAGAAAAACCACCAAGCTCAGAGAGTACCAGGGACCCCACGGTCCTCCTCCTCCTCCTAACACTGATGATGTTCCCTAGTTGGGTCATGAAACGTCTACAAGAAAAACCACCAAGCTCAGAGAGTACCAGGGACCCCACGGTCCTCCTCCTCCTCCTAACACTGATGATGTTCCCTAGTTGGGTCATGAAACATCTACAAGAAAAACCACCAAGCTCAGAGAGTACCAGGGACCCCACGATCCTCCTCCTCCTCCTAACACTGATGATGTTCCCTAGTTGGGTCATGAAACGTCTACAAGAAAAACCACCAAGCTCAGAGAGCACCAGGGACCCCACGGTCCTCCTCCTCCTCCTAACACTGATGATGTTCCCTAGTTGGGTCATGAAACGTCTACAAGAAAAACCACCAAGCTCAGAGAGCACCAGGGACCCCACGGTCCTCCTCCTCCTAACACTGATGATGTTCCCCAGTTGGGCCATGAAACATCTGCAAGAAAAACCACCAAGCTCAGAGAGTACCAGGGACCCCACGGTCCTCCTCCTCCTCCTAACACTGATGATGTTCCCTAGTTGGGTCATGAAACGTCTACAAGAAAAACCACCAAGCTCAGAGAGTACCAGGGACCCCACGGTCCTCCTCCTCCTCCTAACACTGATGATGTTCCCTAGTTGGGTCATGAAACGTCTACAAGAAAAACCACCAAGCTCAGAGAGTACCAGGGACCCCACGGTCCTCCTCCTCCTCCTAACACTGAGGATGTTCCCTAGTTGGGTCATGAAACGTCTACAAGAAAAACCACCAAGCTCAGAGAGTACCAGGGACCCCACGGTCCTCCTCCTCCTAACACTGAGGATGTTCCCTAGTTGGGTCATGAAACGTCTACAAGAAAAACCACCAAGCTCAGAGAGCACCAGGGACCCATCATTTGAACCCTTGAGCTGGAAATATTCTCCTTTAAAATCACCCCTCTCTGAAACTCGCCTTTTTCAAAGAAAAGCCTTGGATTCTTCCTGATATTTATTTATTTATTTGATATACTGGCCCTCCAGGTAAGGAGAAACGGCAACGGTCAGGGCAGCAATTTCTTTCCTGTGCTTTTTCGCTGCAGCGTGGGAACTGCAGCATCTGGACTGCGTTCTGTCAACCGCAGCGGCTCTTTATAACACGGACACATAAAGAGTGTTAAAAAATCAGATCAAGCAGGTTAACAGATGGGAGGGGAAGCGGGGGGGGGGGCTACTCTCGGGCACCTAAAGAAGGCTCCGGCAGGAGACCGCTGCAGGGAAGCCACGGCGGGAATGGCGTTGTGCATTCACAAGGACGCCATTCATGCGTAACAGCTCAGCGCAAGCTGGGCAAGGCACAGAGGCAAACCAGCTAAGGACGGCCTAGTTAAAGCCTGAAGGCTGCCATATTTGCAGGCCCACAAGATTTAGCCTGTGGCAAGACGGGCGGCTTAATAAATTTAG